CACAGAACATAACTGTGATATAACACAGGAGTAACATGTAATATAATTGCTGTTATACGTTATTAATATTGAGGTTACTTAATTTCCTTTATATCTGCGATATAATTATGTTATAAAATTGTTATGTTATTATGTTATTTACTGGTTAAGTTGCATCAACAATATAACAGCAACATAACTTTAATATAACATGTTATATAAGAAGTCTAATGTTTGCATTACGTTTCAGTTGTGCAATATTTTTATACACGAATATGAAATTATATTTTAGGTATTTCTCGTATATAAAATGTGATATTTTAATATATGCAAGGATTGTTATCACGATATTGTAAAACTAGAGTTCTTACAAAAAGAGTCTAATCATAACCTTACTCTGTCAAAGTATTGTGAGAGAGAAAGAAGGAATATTCTTTCTCTTTTGCGAGCACGTTGTAAGTTAAAATTTGATTACTGATACAACATTGTATCAATATTAATCGCATTGTGATTGTCGTGTCGAACATTTACCAACAAATATGTCATAACATTTTTTGAACGATATAAGAATATATTGTAAATATTATCTATCAAGATATTGTTACGGCGCATCGGTATTACCAGTTCCCGGACGATCGTTGAAGTTAAGCATTGAACAACATGATCTAAAAATGGGGGTGCTGCCTGACATACGATCGAATCCACGCGAGTTTCACAAATAATTGAAATAATACGGAATATGAAATGTCAGTTTTTTTTTTATTATTTAGACAAAATAATCATACATTATCACTTATTTAAACCATACTAATGAATAAATCGTTGGAATTCAACAAAAAAATATAATGTGTAATATGCTAACAAATAACATATAACTCTTATATAACTTTTTAGCCACATGTTACTTTTATGTTATATTCACGTTATATAACTGTAACACGTGTGAGTAGGAAATTACAATGAACGTCTATATAACCTACTATATACAAGTTATATTGCATGTTACATTCCGTTTCATTACGGCAATGTAACTGTTATATATGTGTTTGTTGGGATATGAGACATTCATGGCATTCGACTTAATTCTCAATTTTTTTTTATATTAAAGTAATATCAATATTAAATATCTCTCATAAAAAGTTCCCCCATTCAAGCAATATATTTCTATAGAAAAATTCATTGAGATCAGCGATTTTTTTTCTTTTACGCAATTTTTCTTCTCAATTAGGAACAAAATATAAAAATTGATACACTTTTTATTTTTAGAAGAAACATGTAACAAGTCAAATACAGCAGAAAATCACTAGATTCTGTATTTTGAATAGATAAAGTATGTCTGTATATAGAATGTCCCAGATTCTCTTCCGCAACTTTGTTGGAACGTACAACAGATTGAGATAAACATAAAAGCCCTATACTGTTTTGCGGTATTCGTAATAATAGTCGAGATATTAATTAAAGAAGATTAGTGAACGAATACGTGAGATATAATTGATGAGTTGTAATGGCACCGTGTACCGTTATGCACACTTATACTCTCTTAAAATGAATCAGTTAAACATCACCGAAAATAGTGAATATACACTGATTGCAGTTATAAATATAGCACTGAAAGTGCTCAGTGCTATACTCATAACTGATATCAATGACTATTCACTGATTTACTTTAAGAGATCAAACTGAACAGAAAAGTCAGTTATTATTTTGCAAATAATCACGTAGATTTTTTGTTATTAATGAAAGAAACTTGTTACATAATTGTGTGCAAATCTTCTTTAATATCTAAAAATCTATGTGGTCATTTATAAAATAGTAGAGGATTTTTGTTCAGTTTGATCTAACATAACGGCGTCATTTCATCATCTACTATATCGCGTATAATCATTCACTAATCTTTTTAATTAATATTTCGAGATTTGTTGCGAATATCACAAAACGGTATACGGAGACTTTTACGTTTGCTTCAATCCGTTCTACATTCCAACAAAAATTGCGGAGGAGAATCTGGGACATGTACATAAAAAATTTTTTCTTGAAACTTAAAAATCACGTCACTAAAAAACACTGAATGACAGAAAATATCTCTTTTTAATTGACGTAAAAGATACCATATAGATCATAATTTAACCTGTGTAACAAAAAAGTTTTTTGCAGATTAATGTTATCTATCGTAGTATGATAAATTGGTAGACTTTGAAAACATACAATACGACACAATCAACTTCGAAGATTTATGAACACAATCGCGAATTGCACGTCAAAAATCGCAAACTGAATGTCGATCGCACCGACATGCGAAAATTAACCAATGACGTGCGCGAGATAATCGAAAGTGGCGTGGAACTTTCATACGCAATAGTTTCATAGTCAATTGCGAAATCTTTCAACACGTACACGAACAGAATATAATCGTAATTGTGCCTAAAATTCTTATTTCTTTGACATGATGGAACCGTGACCGCGTGAACAAACAACTTTTATTCTTGGCTGGTATTTCTGTATTTTTGTTTTCTTTTTTGTAAAGAATTATATTGATATGCGTAATGGCATTGTATCTCACGTCGGACACTCTAATTCAATGAAATTCATCTCTGTCCGTGTAGCGTGAGGCAAATATGCGTACAGATAATCTAGAGAATTAATCACCACGATAACCGCAAAATCTATCGAAGTAGTCACGAGTTTCGTGTGCAATGGCGCAATTCTGATGCGCATTATATACTGTGCAAAATGATTAGGAGAGATCGCGCTGAACAAATAATTCCTCGTCGCACGTAATTTTACGGACTTAACAAAATACGAGATTAATTAGTTAAAATATCAAATACGCACAAATAATTTACTAAAATTTAATGATGTATTAAGAGAAGCTAGAGGATGCAGACAGCGAGAAATGATCCCCTAATTATTCTGAACAGCGTATTTTGTTGATAATACTAACACGCACATGCAAACACCTTCATGCAGGAGTCTATAAGCGAGGTAAATTGCATCCATTTCGACGAAATATTACGAAAACCCTGCCAAATATTATGAAAATCCATTAATCCTCCAATTTTGTATAGTCCGTTACAAATCGGTTCGCATCTTTCTTTATTGAATGAAATTGCAATGATATATTAAAAGAAATATACGGGCTGTATATATAAGAGCCGTGCACAAGATGTTAATGCGAATAATTTATTAGAATGAAAAAATAATAATGTTTAATAAAAGGAATCAAAAAGCTTTGACATTAAAAAGTCAAGAATGATGTGGGGTCAATAAGAGTTAAATATAAGGTGTTAGTGTTTAAAGAAATTAATGATTTTTACTAATTGAAAAATCAATGAAAAATAAACGTTTAATTTTAATCCCACATTTGAATTTCTTTAGTATCGCTACAGAATATTTCTAACAAATGAACGTAAATATCACCATAATTCTTGTTTAAATAAGTAATCTAGTGTAACACGCATGACTTTTTTGCGGTTTTTTTTATAAGAGCCAATGAAAATTTGTAGTATCGGCTTTTTGCATATATATTTATTCATCTTTCGAAAATATTTACAAAATTTTTAGAGCTAAAATAATTAAAATTAACAGCACTGAAGTCCTGTGAATACACCTATAAAAGAGAGATGTTCCTAAATGACTGCCATGATTACTAACATTCTGCTTATCTGAAACAAAAAAACACGAAAAGATTCTTAATTAATATATGTTTGGCTATATCAGGTACTAGAATGGAAGAAAAAAGTTGAAAATTTAAAAAATGGCGGCACTTTGAAAATTGAATATACCACTGTGTCCAAAAAGTAAGACCAGTTTTCAATTTAAATCGCGCGGGTAAACCGCACATCATAAATATTTTTTTTCTAAGTTGGCAGCATTGTGACAGACATCTGTGACAAATTTCATGTCAAAACATTCATTACTTTTTGCTTTACGCTTGGTTTTGTACGACGCTAAAAGTGCATTCGGCGATTTTTACAATGTCTAATTATATTGAGCAAAGAAGTTGCATTAAATTTTGTTTGCGGAATGAAATTTCGGGTGCAGAAACGTTCAGGATGTTGCAGAAAGTCTTCGGGGACCATGCTTTGTCGGAAAGGAATGTTTACAAGTGGTATAAACAGTTCAAAGAAGGTCGTGAAAGTGTTGAAGACGGAGAGCGTTCCATCAACCTCTACCGATGAACACATCAAGAAAATCGAAGAACTTGTGCTTGCTAATCGTCGAATGACTGTTAGAGACCTTGCTGATGCTGTTGGTATTTCGAAAGGATCTGCCAATACCATTTTGAAAGATATTTTGGGCCTGAAACGTGTAAAATCTCGACTAGTGCCAAAACACCTTCTCACACTGCACTCGTTCTTCGTGACTTTTTCGCCAAAAATTCGATCCATATCGTTCCACAACCATCGTATTCGCCTGATTTAACACCGTGTGACTTCTGGCTATTCCCGAAACTCAAAAGACCACTGCGGGGAAATCGTTTTGAGGCGATAGAAGAGATACAACGTGAATCGCTACGCGCTCTGAAAGCCATCCCGGAAGGCGACTTTAATTCTTGTTTCGAGGACTGGAAAATACGTTGGCATAAGTGTATTGTGTCGGGAGAGGATTACTTTAAAGGCGACGAAATAGATTTGGAAGAATAAATAAATATTTTTTGAAATAAATAAAAACTGGTCTTACTTTTTAGACACAGTAGTAAGATTATCGCGATTTGTTTTTACTTTTCAAAGGCTATAAAAATTAAAAAGAAATAATTTTGACTTAATTCTAGTAGGGGCTATAGCGACATATTTACTGAAGATATACGCACAAGCTGGACTCAATTAGTCAAGTAAATCTTCAGATATTGTAGCAACCATTTCAAGAAACATGGTTTTGAAAAAGATGCGTTTAAAGATTCTCATGCACTTATAAGGTGGATAATGAGTAATTTTAGTAACTTACCCTTAATCAGCTACATCAGGGTTATACAAGAGACCTTCCTCAACTTCAAAGAACCCATGTTTGTCAGTCTTCTCTTGTCTCTTAGCAATTCTTGCTTCTTTCGAGTCGTATGACGCCCGCTGCTTCGAACGTTTAACGTGCTCATTGTCTCTGTTATCCGCGAGGAATTTTGCATTTTGGCCGATTTTTATTCCCATTACGTCCATTACTTTTACAATTGTATTAAATCCTTCATTAAACATGCAAACAACCGAAAAAGTAGCAATCACCATCTTCTTTCCACAATACACATATATTTTGATGTAATTGTCCAAATTAATGAATTTAAACTTTTGTTATTCTGAATATGTTATGTTTATTATTCTGAATAAATAATCCGAGGCATCGCTGTAATAAATCATCGGTAGTTAAATAGGATTTGATGATATTTAACACTTCATTATTTATCTCAGTCGGCGCGCCGTATGGAAGTCATTTAATCATTTATAGCATCTTTTAATTATTTAGCTTGATTAATTTAACGAATTTTATCTTAATATTTTAGGGATACATTTTCAAAATTTATCTTAATATTTTAAGGATACATTTTCAAAACTTATCTTAATATTTTAAGGATACATTTTCAAAACTTCAAACTATAAAAATATACGAAAATAGAAAAATCTATTTTTTTAGACTCGTCACACTAGAATACTCCCTTAAATCATTCTCCAAAATCTGGATGTAATCCAAATAAAATAAAAGTTGTTAAGACTCAAATTGCATTACCACAGAAACATTCTGTGATGCCTGAACAGTTAACAATCTGATGTAGCATCCTGGATAAACATCAGAAGCAAAGGCAATATAAGTGAAACTATTTGAAATTAATCTGTAGGTCCCGGTTGAACGAATGTAATTCAAAATAGTAATGTTTGTTGTATAAAATTGCAACGCTTTAAGTTGTCAGAATAGTGATGACAAGAGCCAAAATGACAGTACGGTGACGTGTGACACGTGACTAAAGGAAAATTTAGAAGAAAGAATTTATTTTAAATAAGGAAAGACATTATTTTAAGAAGTTATTTTTAAATATTTATAATGCGCAATTTATACTGCGTATACACGTCAGCAGTGGCTTTCAATTCTAACAACTTGAAATATTGCAATTTCATTCAATAAATAGTGTATTTAAACCATTTAATAACTAAGTATACTCATTTGCCATTTATCGATTGTTTCTAATCTAAGACCGCGTTTTGCTACAAGTTCTGAAACAGAAAAAATAGATTTATTAGTCAGATGTTAGTATAACGAGAACGAGTACGCATAATGATATGAACAGATTAACTCCTGGCAATTGTAATACAAGTCACTCCGTTGGTTATATCCCGACTTTTGACAACAAAGGTTTAAGGAGAGAAGTGTAGTAAATCTACGAACCCACCTTCGAGTCGACTCAATCCCTGTGCGGAGCCTCCAGCACAGCATTCGCATTCACTGAAACTTTGACCCCCTCCGCCGCGCGACCGCAAGCCGTGGGCTTTGTGGGATCTGAAACAAGAAGATAGTTTTCCTAATTAGTTATTGCAATCCCAACGCGCCGAGAATACGGAAATTTACGGCATGTAGGCATCAAAATTCGACGCTCGACTGTACATTTTCTTTCAGGCGTAATAAGGACAAAACGCGGTGATCACACCCGTTAAGTTCCAAGGTGCTCCCGCAGCTGACCGCGTTCCCAGCGTCGTAATCGTGTGCACTAAGTACCGTAATTAGTCTGGCACACGCTTGGATTAATCCGGAAAAGTCGAAAATAGCGCACGACGTTCTCCGACGTGTTCACTTCCGAGTCATAGACTGTTGTGACTAGGAGTGTGTGCTATACGTGTGTGCCTATGTTGTTGTTACAAAGGTCGCTTTACCTTCAGCGCATGCCGAGACTGAACAACCGATAACGCGTCAAGTCGTAGCTTGACCCCGATAAACTGATGTACGTAAACTTTACAGCAACTTTAAGTATATTAAATCACGAAATTCAGCAATGTCGAGTCCTTTATGATTGATCAGATTGTACTCAGATTTTTATTACATAGACTGAAGAAATAGAAATACAAACGAACAGAATGATCAAAATTTGCTCCAAACATGTTATGTTAAATATGAAAATCTCAATTTAATTTTTAATAAGTTTGTTGCTGCAACAATGCAAGGAAAATTTACATTATTGTATAACGTAAATTTAATAATTAATTTAATACACGTTTACACACAGTATATTTACTTAACAAATGTAATTAAAATTTCTTTTAAATATAATTATAAACGTCGTAATTAACGTTCCTTAATTATAATTATAATATATTTTTAATTGTAATTAAAATCGTTGTAATTAAAAATAGTAGAATAATTAAAAATTTCGTAGAATTTCGACTTTTTCACGGCGTGATAATTACAAAAGTTTTTTTTAGGTAAGAGCTGCTTAGATAGACAAATGTACGTATATTTGGCAGCAATTTTATTAATCGATTTGTAAAAGTTACTTTCCTTATAAGTGCTTCATATGGTATTCATATTTATCACACAGAAAGATGAAATACACACCTTTTTCATAGAAAAAGGATAGCCGCAGGAGCTAAGATACAGCTCTAATAATTAAAATATGTTATTGATAGCTAATGTTATTGTTACCGAAGCTTTTGCTAGTTATTTGAATTTTAAAGCTACGGCAAGAAAATATTCTAGATTGAAAGTTCTTATTATTTATTATTTCACTTTGTTTTAAATTATACTTGATATTTATCCAAACATGAAACTGATACTGTCTATTATAAATTCAAACCAAGTGTTTCCCATCAGTTTTTAATATAAATTAATAATTGTTATTAATATTTTAACACAAACATAAATATCTTTTGTACTTATATGATTACGCTATTTCATCCTTATTCCACAAAAGTACGATTTTATGTACATCAAAAGTATGATAATTTCCTTTTCTTAGTGATTTTTGTTTTAAGTTGCTACAATGTTCACAATTGGAATTATTACGATTATATCGACCCGCATTCTCGGCGTTTCGGCGAGCTGTGGATAGACGCGACGCGTGAATACGAGAATGTGGAACGCCACTATTGTTTCCGGAAAAGTCATCTTGCATGGTACGCAACAGTACATACACACGAAGTCGGCATGTTACCCCCACTCCTGGTTCAAATAAGCATAGTCACTACGCTCATTTGTTCACGGCGGTCATATGCAATGCGCTGGCGCGAAAGCAAATACTAACATCATACGAGCGCGAATTTCGAGCCCAAACATGATGTCAACGCCGCGGTTTTAAACGGTTATAACATGTAAATTAGACGATGTAGCGACATGAAATAAAAAGAAACTTATTTGGCACGCGTTCCCACACGCGTCCATGTTGCTCCTTTATTGTTCATTTGGAAGAGTCGAGTGTTCTGATTTATTTAAGCACGGTAAGCGCGATAAAACGAGCAACACGCAACCTGTTTTATTCCTGATGAATTGTTTAGATTCCCTTCTTCGCCTCGTCTATTGTAACACTGATAAAGTTAATATATTTAGATTAAAATAAAGGAATAATGATCGTGATTATTTGTGAAATGGTAAAAGACTGTTTTGTTCAATTTCATGAACTTTACTTGCACCCAAGTGTTGGTACATATTACATCAGACATCCTGTATACATTTCCAATGCTAATGAAGAAAATGTGTCTAAAATAAAGAGAAATATACAAAAATATATAATAAAGAGATTATGAAGAAACACAAAATTTGTTTTACATATCCATTAATTATACAGAGTGTCTAGATTTATATAAATGTTCGTGTGCAGGTTGAACTTGTTAAGTAAAATAAAAAAGAATCTTATACAATTTTGTGTTACATATACATATTAATAGGTTGTACATATTAATAGGTTACATATACATATTAATAGGTTGTGCTACAGTAATATTATTGAGATATTAATAAAAAATTGGTCAATCAATGTACGTGATCCGATGGGATGACCTCTATAAGGTTAATTCTTTACAAAATCAGATACTCGCGATCTATCCGCACAACATATTTAAAAATAGCTACCACTTTTTTTTAGTTACTTGATAGTTAATTGCATTTTACCTGTGTTATCAGCTCTTAGCAATGATAGCAAAACAATTAGTCTTTCGGCTAGATTCGAATTAATCATTGAGATTTAGCTGGTATAATAAAAAATTATATTATTGTATGAAGAAAATTTAATGATTCAGTATATTACATTTGTTTTATAAATTACGCACCATCATTGCGCAATTATCTTATAAAGTGATAATCATGAAAGTGTATTTGAAAACGTTATACAATTTATTTAATTTAACCTCAATTAATTCTATTTATTTAATGTTATTTAATGTAATCTCTATTAAAATGTTAATAGAGATTTCCACTCGTTATCTTTTTTATAAATCACAATACAATTACAACTGAAAGTATTATTGGCCCTTACCAGTACATTGCATATTAATTAAATTATATTACTATTATATTATTTTTTTAAATTATAAAAAATATTGAAATAAATATAATTTCAATAATTACTAGAATTCGACAAATTAAATGATAAATGAAGTGATATGTGTAGAAGAGAGCACAATTAAATAATTTCCCTTGTATAAGAAGAAAATTAATGTTTATATTCTTTTATGCTGGATTAATCGAATTGAAAAGAAACATGCAAATGTTCTTCTCACAAGAACCATCAAATGATTAATATTCTTCTTTATTATATTGATTTATTTAATATGCATTTCAACAGCATTTATTCTAATTCTACATATTTCTGTATGTTATTAATTAGTAACATTTCAAAATTATAATATGATTGGGATATATTTGAGCAAAAGATGTTACACAAATTTATATAAATAATTTATATAAATAAAATTTAATTTATATAAATAATTTAGTATTGTTAAAAAAAGAAGAATAAAATAAATTGTGTTATAAATCCCCATTAGTCGTGTGTATTATTACACTTGATGTGTTATGTGTAATTAAATCCTTTCTAATAAGATTTTAATTTAAAATGTATTATAATTTTGATTAAAACTTACTTTTACTCAACTAACCCTAATATATAATAGTATGCAATCACTATATAATATACAAAAATACTACAAGCGTTATTGGGAAGAGAGAATGAGTGTCCATTAATTATATAAAAAAATATATATAATTATATATAATAATATAAAAATAATAGTGTACAATTTGGTATATTTATTATATATGTTTATTATTCAATCCGAAATATCTTGAATAAAATACTCGTAAAGTTTGCGATAATGTCAGCAGAATTATTGCGACGCAAATATTGTAAATTATGATTTTTTCCTAACATTAGGTCTGATTAATTTAACAAAATATCGAACAATGTCGTCTGTCGTCTTCAATCCACGACGTTACGATTGTTATGTGCGTTCGTGTTATGTATAACATCGAAGATTTTGTATCTTTCGATGTTACGATAAACGTAGACTTATATGTGTAGCACTATGTAGACGGAATTCAAAAAATAAACCAGAGAGATTTTTCGACTTTTAGTAGTTCACTGTGCGACATCTTTCGCGGCTGACATTTGAGTCGTTTTAAATAAAACAGCAAACGGGAACACAAGGATGGGAGCATAACAAATAAGTCGGCTAAATATACGCCGTGGCCTACAGAATGTATTTAGCATGGACTATTCTTTTTCCAATATTAAGAAATTGATAAAAATCTATATACGTAAACATCGAAATATATATCAAGTAATAGTTTTCTTATTGTAAGTCTGTAGCATTTTTGTAATCATTAGACATTTTTGAATTGGTAACATACATTAATAAATTAATAATTTAAATTAAATTAATGAATTACTCAGATTTAACGTATTGTTCTATCAAAAAAAAGATATATATATATATATATATATATATATATATATATATATATATATATATATATATATTAGGACCTTAACTTAGTTTCCGCCCGCAAATGTTAGATGGCAATGCAAACAGTTCTAGTAGTCATTACTAACGAAACAGGTAGTTTGTGATTAATTTCGACATTTCTCGATAACATTCAGTCAGCATACACAATTATTTTCCTAAACAACAATTTCTTTTGCTTTGTGAAAAATGGAACGCGATAAAGTGTTTTTTCGACATGTGCTTTTGCACTATTTTGATTTGAAAAAAAGTGTAGCAGAAGTTCATCGATTACTTGAAGAAGGTTATGGTGATCGAGCTCCATCACATACAACATGTAAAGAGTGGTATAGACGATTCAAAAGTAATGATTTTGATGTCAATGACAAACCACGCTCAGGACAGCCAAAAAAATTCCAAGACGATGAATTGCTAGCATTATTGCATGAAAACTCGGCTCGAACGTTACAAGAACTTGGAAACGAGCTAGGAGTTACTGAAGCAGCTGTTTCCAAACGTTTACACGCCATGGGAAAGATCCAAAAGGAAGGAAGATGGGTACCACATGAATTGTCTGAAAGTGCCATTCACAACCGTTTCAATATCACGGTTTCGTTGCTTGCCAGGCAAAAAAAGAAGAGTTTTCTGTGGCGTATTGTGACTGGCGATGAAAAGTGGATCTACTACGACAATCCCAAACGCAAAAAATCATGGGTAGACCCAGGACAACCATCAACATCGCAGCCAAAACGGAACATCCACGGTCATAAGGTAATGCTTTGCATTTGGTGGGATCAGCAAGGAGTGCTGTACTACGAACTGCTGAAACCAAACGAAACTGTTACTGCCGATGTCTACAAATGTCAATTGAACAAATTGAATGATGAGCTGTTGCGAAAAAGACCAGCAATAGCGAGTAACAGGCGCAAAGTTATTCTCTTACACGATAACGCTCGGCCACACACTGGAAAAACCGTCAAAGAAACACTGACGCAGCTCGAATGGGAAACTCTTCCTCACCCAGCGTACTCACCAGACATAGCGCCTTCTGATTACCACTTGTTCAGATCGATGCAGCACGGCTTGAGTGGTACACGCTTCCGAAATGTTGAAGAAGTGCGAGAATGGGTGGACGAATGGATTGCTTCGAAACAAACATCGTTTTATCGAGATGGTATCGCCCAGTTGCCAGAAAGATGGCAAAAAGTTGTAGAAAGTGATGGAAAATACTTTCATTGAAATAAT